CTGCTCTACCACCTGAGCTATCGTGACCTCGATCCACTCGGACATCAACTCCCCATCTCAACCCCACCTTATGAGTTTTCCCTCCTTTTGTCATTTTTCAAAACGAAAACGTGGGGAGTTGATGCCCGAGTGGATCGAGGTCACGATAGCTCAGGTGGTAGAGCAGCGGCGTATCTAGCCGAAGGTCGTGGGTTCGAATCCCGCCGTGCCATTGACCTTTTTTTAGGACGAAAGAAATGTTTAGGGACAGTTGAAATTTAGTTGACACAATGGAATGAATTTTAACCGCAAAATTACCAAAATGACGTGAGTAAAATAAGGTTCTTTTTTTATTAATACTACATCATTTTATGTTGTAATCAAATCAAAGGACTTGACGTTCTTGAGAAATGGCATGGATCGGATTGTCTCGCTTCGGATGAACAATCCTTAATTAAAAAATTATCTGACAAAAGAAAGAGTCAAGAGAAGTTCATTTCACACTTCAACTTAATATTTTGTGGTTTGACTCTGCAGCCTACGAAGTTGCAACGCCGAAAGAACATAAATTTCAGCATTTTAACTTGATAGAGCTAATAAAGCGAAACAGTGTGCTTAGATCAGGAACCGTTTACATTTCTCGGATAGGCGAAGAAAAGGCCGGCGCGGCGCGCACTGCTAAGAAAGAATAATTAAATATTAACACCGGAGCTTCCTAAATTAAAAGTACTCGGCGGGCCTCTGGTGTTGCCAATGGGATTAAAGAAGGATTAAAAATTCACCGGCTCTTTCCGGATTGGGATGCAGATTAAGAAGAAACCGGCCAAGCAAACTCATTTTCATCCCTTTCCCTTTATCCCTCATTCGCCCTTCTCGTTCTTACGCTGCGAATTCGTCTGTGCAACACTAAAAAAATTGTACAATCTTAGTAAATAATGTCTAACAAAAGATAACGAGGTTAATATCATTATGTTACAATTGATTTTTATAATAAAATTTTATGAAATGAAGGTGTTTTTATTAAAAGATGTCGAAATTCCTGCAGTAAGTATTGATTATAATCCAAAAGTCTTTGTTGCACTAATACATAAAAATTCGAAAAGGAAACATATCTGTTGAAAAAAACCAAAAAACTAACAGGTAGCGTCAGATGTTTCTAAGATGTAATTCTCCCCCGGAAATGTTACAGATCCCACTAATGGGCCAAACTGCCTGAAAGTTGGAAGATAAGGCCAGGTGGTCGTGCCGTTTAGCCAGGAGGAGCGAGTGGACAGGAGACATTTGAATAATAACACGAGCATGGATGGGGTTTGCGGTGGCATTACTGCAACATGCACACGGAATGGAAACATGGTTATGTTCTCACATAGAAGGCATGGCGCCTGGTCCTCCCCTGCCTTCCGAATAGGATCGTTTATTATGAAATATAGCGTATAATACAAAAAAGTCTTAAAGGGTTTTCGGAAGTAGTAAGAGGTTTTATTAATGAAATGTATTAGCAAACCAGCCACTGCAATAATAGAATAGAATAATAAATTTCCGCCTCACTGGTTTAGTAAGTCAGTCAGCTTTCGGATTCTTTTTCGGATCATTCATTCCACCCATCCTCGCTGTTTGGATCTGTCCAAAAAGATTGTACGTTGTCAAACTTAAGAGTATTATTAAATTCATTAGAGTTCGTGGTTCGATTGACCGAATAACGTTTTTCAATTAATTAATTAAGGTTTTTAGTTGAAATAAAAAGTCAGTGTCACGAGCGGGATTCGAACCCACGATCTTCGGCTTGATACGCCGCTGCTCTAGCACTTGAGCTATCGTGACCTCGATACACTCGGACACTAACTTCCCAACTCAACCCCACCTTTTGAATTTTCCCTCATTTTTGCCATTTTATCTCAACTAAAAACCTTAATTAATTGAAAGATATTAATTGGTCAAGCGGAGCACGGAAACTAGCTAGTTTTCTAAATCGGACACCTACCTTCCACCTCAACCCCACCTTTAGAATTTTCCCTTCTTTTTGCCATTCTTCAATTCGAAAGGTGGGGTTGAGGTGGAAAGTTGGTGTCCGAGTGGATCGAAGTCACGATAGCTCAAGTGGTAGAGCAGCGGCGTATTTAGCCGACGGTCGTGGGTTCGAATCCCGCTCGTGACTTCTTTGTCTCAACCAATACTTTATACAAAGATTAATTAATTGAAAAAAGTATTATTAAAATTGAATGACATGGGTTAAAGCGTAAATTGAATTTAGTTGGCAAAACATATACCGCGAGACCAATGTTTCTGACGGATTTAAAATTGAATGAAACTTATCTTTTATCAAGAAAATTTGCAAAGACGTAAAGTAAAATTGCAAATTAAATATGCAACTAATTAAATTACTTATCTAAACAAACACGCGTTTATCTTGTAATTGTTTTTTTGTTTTTGCAAACGTACCGTCTAATGAAATTCCTCGACAATCGAGACACCAACAGATTCGCGAGAAAAAAGGGGCGATATGCATACATCAAAAGCGGGTTTCGTGGATACTCGTATAAATCAGGTTACGGAAAAAGGTGAACAACTGAGAAAGGATCTCAAAAGAGATTTATAGGCTTGAGTCAACTCTTCGCGTTAATAATGATAAAATGGCAAAAACAACGGCGGAAAACATATCAGACTATTTTCAGAAAAAAAGACGAAAAAATAGAAATAATTTATAGAAGCCTTGGCATATTGGTTTAGTTAGGTTAGGCAAAAAATTCCACCCAATTGATATTTTTTCATTTTCCGGATAAAAGAAAATTCAGTCTTTAATTTGGCTCATTTTTTTAACAATAAATATTTGTTTATGCTATGTTTTAAATGGAGAATATCAATTAGAGGTAAACATATATAGTTCTTAATGTGAGGTGATTTGTGTTCATTTGTCGATGAAATTATTCATAAATCGTGAGATGCGGTCTGGTGTAATGTAGGTTTCAGGAAAACATTTTCTTTATCGTGCCAAAATTTCGATCTTTATTGAGATCATCTTGAGGGCTCAAAGTGTATGTTTTCTGTGTAGTTGTGTCATTCTTGCGTGTTGTGTAGCGGGCCACTCTCAACACGACACGCAAGAATGGCACAAATACACATAACACAAACACTTTGAGCCCTGAAGATGATCTCAATAAAGATCGAAACGTTGGAACGTTAAAAAAAATGTTTTTCTGAAATCTACGTCACACCAGACCGCATCTCACTATTTCTGAATAATCATAATTCTTAATCCAAAACAAAGATAAATGATTTTTCAATGTTTAATCTTTACGGAATTTATAATGCTTATTCAGTCTCATTTGAATTCTGAAGAAATAAACTGTTTAGTTATAATTTTTGTTTTCTTAATTTCAATTTTTAAACTTAAAAACGCCACTTCGTGCTGAGGATGTGGCGCGTGGTGTGGCACTTATTGATGATGGAGGTTCCAACAGGTAAGCAGCTATTGCTGTAGGAGTTGGCTACGAAACTCTGCGAGACGCCGTTAGACGTTTTCGAGAAACTGGTTCCTACCATACAAGGCCTTCTTCTGAGAGCTCTAGTGTAACAGAACCACAGGATGACCGTTTTTTGACTGATAATTGTGCGAAACCGGCAGCTTATGTTCAAACGATTCATCAGCTCCAGGAAGTTCGAGGTATCCAAATTTCTAAACCAACTGCTCGAAGAAGATTAAGTCAGTATGGCCTGAAGGCTTTCCGCCCCGTAAGAAGACCAGAATTGACAGGACACACAGGGTTGCCCCCATTTGCTCGAGAAGACAGCCCTTGGTCTTTGGACGATTGGTCTGCTGAACCTTTTTCAGATGAGTGTAGATTTGCTCTATGATCTCCAGATGGGCGTAAAAGAGTGTGGAGAAGGCGAAATGAAATATATGAAGGATGTAATTTTTTCTAAAGCCAATCTTTTCAACGTAGCTCAGTGATGGTGTGGTCGGAAATTTTAATGGAGTGTCTCACAGAGTTGGTTGTTGTTTGTGGTGGGTCTTTGACGACCACTCGCTATGTGGATGAAATTTTGGTACATCATGTGATGCCTGTCCTCGATGAAATCAACGATAATCCTATTCTAATGCACGTTAAGGCCCGTCCACATGTCGGTCGGGTCTTATCCTGGCCAGCTCGTTCTATAGACTTAAACCCCATAGAGCATTTATGGGATAACCTCAAAAGACAAATAAGAGCACGTCCATCCTGATACAGTCCACGATGTTGAACGGGCTCTTCGTGAAGAATGGGCTAACCTCCAGCAAAGAAACATTTCCACAATGGTAGATGGCACGCTGAAGCGTCTTCGAGATGTAATTAAGGCAAGAGGAGGAAATACGCGATATTGAAATGATAATTAAAAATCTAAAACAAAATTTAAAAAAAATGTATATATCCGTCTTTTTTATTTTCCTTAGGAAATTATATATATATTTTACTTTTTTAGACAATCACTTAATTATTAACAATTAAAATAGTTTCAAAAACTTTCATTAATTTATAAAAATGTATACAAATGAAGTGATATTAAGAGTGGGTGGAATTTTTTCTTTGCCAATGCATATAAAAATTCTTTATCGTGTGTGTTACGGTTTAAAATTGATTCTTTTGATATTGATTTTTTTTTCAAAACTTACGTCTGATTGGATCTGTTACACCATTATAGAAATATTGGACAAAAGCACTTGCCCATGAATAAAAGATGAGACGCATCTTCAGATTGTTGGAATGTCACGTCGTACAATAAAAACGATCATTGTCATAGGACAAAGTTTCAGTGCGAGTTTTTGAAATAAGCCTGGATTTTTGCAAACAAATCCATCAAGATTTCGCACAATTCTTCCTCTCCCTCTTTCAAATTCCTATTAATACAATCACCGACGTCCGTGAAATTGATTATACCGTGTTTTTAAGGCGAGTTTGGATATAAGCGAAAGAAAAAAAAATAGACGAAGATTATCTTCGCTAAGAGAGGGCGCATGCGCTTGCCACTGAGATTTGTTTTTCGTTTTGCCAGTTAGAAGAGCTACTTCAACATGGACCAACGTCTGACGGAAATCTTTCTGTTAATTATTTTGACGATAACGTGTAAGTTTTGATTTATCAATTTTATGAACATCTCTTAAATGGCACAGCAAATAAGCCCAACAATATGCCAAAACATTTTTTTGACTATTAAAATTTCTAAAATCAAAACAATAATGTATAAATTATTTATTTTACAATTATATTGAAGAGGATTTGCACAAATAAAATAATTCGTGGAATAATAGTTTAATAAATCATTTTCTGTATAGAATATTATAAAAATTTCATGAAAATTATAATTTTCAATCATTTTCGTCCATCTTGCTTTTTGTTTTGGACTGTCCAAAACTAAACCAAAAAGACCAGAAACCACCAAACCATAATTTTTCCACACCATTTATCCCAATATGAAATCATCCAAAATAAGAATATTATCGTATATTATATTGCAATAAAAATAGCTTATGAAAAAGGAATTTTCTTTACAAATATGCACAATAATCGAACGATCGTTGGTTTAATTGGAAATGAAACCGTAAATGTTTTATTATTTAAATTTAAACGGATTAATAGGAAAGGTCAATATTTGATTCTGTTTCGCTTTATCTCGTGATTCTTGGAAAAGATAATAACTATATGAAACGTCGCGTTATTGAATTCGTCAAAAATGTTGTTTTCAAATCGATAATAGGCCTTGAACTTTTAACTGAATTCTTTCTGGAAAACACCCGCGACGATAAAAATCCAATTTTGTACATATTGCATTAAACTTGGCTGTGATACCGAGAAAAGCCTATAGCTTTTCTAATTGCTTAAATAATAAATACAATTGTTTACTAATAACAAAATATAATTATATTGGACGAGGAAAATGACTTGTTTAAACAACTTCCTGTTGACAAGTACAATAGTTTTTCATATCTAGCCTGCAATCGTTTGAAGCTCAATTTAGCGCTTCAAAACAGAAATCACTGTTGTTATTACTGACAAACAATAAAAAGGACAGTTTTTGTTCATTTCACAAAGCTTCAATAGTAGACTTTACATAAAACTTTATAAAACACTAATGAAATATAAATGTTTAAGTGCATTCTAACATATTTCACTATTTCAATGTATTAACCTATACAGAATGTTAATGCTCCCCCAAAATAACTAGGAAAACGTCAGTCTAACTATAGAAAATAAACTAATTCAAAAATATCATAAATTATTTATTGAACGAAGGTTACGCTTTTAAGCGTTTCGACATTTGTAATATTGTTGGGATATATTTTATAATTTTGAACGCCGAATATTATGTGCAGTTCTTAATATTTTTCAGATTAATTAAACAATAATTCTTATGGATATAATTTTTCAAAAGTAATTTGGTGATCGACGATCATTTGGTACGAATGTTTTTGCTGTGTTGGATTGTCAGGCGAGTTTTGAGTGTCATCTCCAGTGGTATTCAATAGTGGGTTTATGAAAGGGTTTAATAAAAAAAATAAAGATGTAGTTGGTTGGTGTGGTGCCTTGCCTCGTCGACCTGCTTACATCCCTAAAAAGAACGATCGGACACGACTAATCTACAGATCTGTTACGATGTTTCTTTCAAGACGAAATGTCTGTAAATGGTTGGATATAAAAACATATAGGCTGGTGTCTCATCCTGCTTATATCCCTTACATGTAAGATTGGGCCCATACGGCCAAAGAATGAGCCCCCATACAATGCCCAAACGCATTGGCTGTGAACTAGTAACCCGCAGACCACATGGATAAATATCACAATTTATAAATAGTTTCTTCTAAAATCTGTCTTTTTAGATCTTATAAGATGTATACACATCGAAGCATCCCTGCTTCCGCTCCAGCATACAACATCTTTACAATATTTCAGGTGCGGTTATTTGTAAAGATTTGACATGCTGAAGAGGAGCCAGCCTGTTTCGCAAAATATACATTTTACTACCTACATACATCAAAAAGTAACCTAGAAAATCTTTAAAGAGAAACAATTTTTAGAAGACAACAGTAAAAAACTTGGGGGCGTCGGTGGCCGCAACGGTTTAGGCGTTGACAAGGCGCTCTTTGCTGCAAGGTAAAGGTCCCGGGTTCGAATCCAGCGGCCCTGCATTCGAACCCGACATACTTACAAATGGGCTTTTTTTCCTACCTCCCTCCATAGAACACAATTAAGTACACTTGCCTACACCTTAGTTTTAGCAACCAGCGAAGGTCAGAAAGTCTAAAGAAGCGGGTACCTCTACCTGTGGGTCAACTTAGTTCTTTCTAATATCATAACGAACCATTCTGGTTAGTTAACATTTACCCGAGTTAAGGAAAAATTACAATTTAGCTCAACTTTTGATGCAAAATACCAAGCTACCAAAGAAAAGTAGATGAAAAATCGGGAGCAAACTACAAGTTAACTACACCGTTTTTTTCAAGAAAATGTTTGTGCCTTTCCCTGTTTAAAACCCTGATGACTCAGGAAAGTTGGCGTAAATTCAACAAACATCTAACTGATCAACCAGTGAAGAAAGGCAGACGGAAAATAGCAATCTATAGGTTCATTAGACTCTTTCTTCCAATAAGACAAAAATATATATACGTACATCAGGGCGTTGATGTTCAGCGTCACTCGTCTTATAACCTGCCATACTAAAACTCTCCAACGTTTTGGAGAATAGAATCTCACAAAAAGTTTGGTCCAAATCCGTGTCACACCAACCTGGTCGTCCCCTTGTTTTATTAGCATGCTAATACGGCTTGGAAAAGACATTCTGACGGAGTTCAACCAAAGATTTTATAAAATAAAAACCAAAACAAAACCAACAACCAAAGTTACAAAAATCATCACTTGTTGATATAAGAAAAACAATAAAAATACCATATATACAATTACGAACTAAGATATTACCAAGTGACAGCGGTTTTTTTTATAATCAGTTTTTCCCCGCAAACGCAGTAACAGGCTAAACAAGACAAAATGGATACATTGTTAAGGATGTAGAAGGTTATAAAGCCCAGTCAGTGTCTTTCGCACTTCTACCACAAATGAAAAAAGTGTCAGGTTGCAATCCCTATATATGTAAATATTTAGTCAAATATACTAGTTTTTCTTCTTCTTAAAGAAGATATTACCTACTTATATAATAGAAAACAAAGAAAATATATAAAAATAAAAAAAATAAACTTACATACCTCTTCCTTTTAAGCGAGAAAATCGTACAAGTTGAAATATTGCACTAATTCATATCTGTAAATCATGCTTCACCTGCGTGCTGAACGAGTGTCTGACTTTGATCATTTCTCGCGTTTAGTAGGCAAAGCGCTCCAGATAATACAGACGAAATCGGCCAGTACAGTGCACTCAGCAAGAAAATGAAAAAGTCCTTTTTTCTTATAGTTACATAAAGAACATTTGCTGTCTTCCTACCTCCCTCCGTAGAACACAATTAAGTACACTTGCCTACACCTTAGATTTAGCAACCAGCGAAGGACAGAAAGTCTAAAGGAGTGGGTATCTCTACCTGTGGATCAACTTAGGTCCAATCTTTAAATTCACTAATTTCGTGGTCCGCTTGACCACTTAAGACATTACAATTAATTAAGGTTTTTAGTTGAGATGAAAAAAAGTTAATGGCACGAGCGGGATTCGAACCCACGATCTTCGGCTAGATACGCCGCTGCTCTACCACCTGAGATATCGTGACCTCGATCCACTCGGACATCAACTCCCCATCTCAACCCCACCTTATGAGTTTTCCCTCCTTTTGCCATTTTTCAAATTTCGTGTAATCGGTTTGGATTCTCGACGACAATTGAAATGGCCACGGAGAGCTTTAGTGAAGTGTTCTTCATTTTAATTCATTAAAACCATCAGACCGCATCTCACGTTTTTTAAATAAATATTAATTCATTAAATTCACTAATTTCGTGGTCCGCTTTAGATCTTTCTAATATCATAACGAACCATTCTGGTCGGTTGTTAACATATACCAGAGTTAAGGAAAAATGACAATTTAGCTCGCTCGCTAATTTATTTATTTGATCTACCCAAACCAATTACTTTGAATAATTTACAGTAATTTTTGACAGACGAGGGTTTGGAAGGTCAAGAACTTTAAGTATGAATGAATAATGAAGGTTCAAAGAAAAAGAAATATTAATTCTACTGATGTCTCAACATACAGCGTGTAATTTAGGGTTGATTCTGGAAGGGCCGAACATTTTTTTTAATGAAAAAACCGTTAAATTTTTCTGTTTCTTCATATCGTTGAAATCCCCATGTGAAAGAAAGATTGATCATCAAACAGCATAAAAGAGGAGAAAATTAGCTTGGTATGAGGTTGAATTATTTCCAACAAAATTCTTCAAGATTCGGAAGAGACAAATTTTAGGTAGAAACTTTAACTTTAGATGCTTAGAGAACGAACGTTTTGGCGTTTACAGATCTCCTGAATATTTATACTGGTTAACAATCTATTCTCTCCACATTGAAATGTATGTATATGAAGTAGTCAACTCCTTCGAAAAACCATGACCTCGGATTTCGTTAGTCTCACTATTAAACAACTAAATAAAGTTTACTAACGTACAAAGCTTGGGGGCGTCGTTGGCCGCAACGGTTTAGGCGTTGACACGGCGGTCATCGCTGCAAGGTAAAGGTCCCGGGTTCGAATCCAGCGGCCCTGCATTCGAACCCGCTATACTTACAAATGTTTTTTTTTTTTCAAAAATACCGGCAACCTGAGGGTTGATATGACCTCTGCTGTTGCGAACCCTCGTAAAAATAAATATATAAATAAAACTTAAAAATATATAATATTTAATTTCTCGTTCTAATTTAGTAGTTTTTTTTACAAACGTTTGCTCAATGTGCCAACTTGTAAATAATAGAAATATTAAAAAAACTGTAAACCTAAAATTAAACATTTTCAGCATTATCACATGTACGTACAAAGTACTTCCATAAAAATAATATTTAATGTAAATAATGTAAATATTAGTGTCAAATGAGTTGTTTTTCTTCTGAATTCTGAGAAATATACATTGTTAAGAAATAAGAATGAATAACGTCAATTGCCAATGACCTGCATCAAATTAGATCAAGGGCGCTGTCTCACACGCATTTAAACGACTGGAGTTTAATTGTTGTTGTTTTCAATTTTCATTTTGTTTTTGTTTTTATTGTTAAATACGATAATCTGGATCTTGGTATGGACTGGATGAAGAAGCGTATTCAATTGTTACTGCCAAGCTTTCGCTCAATTTTAAGGTCATCATCAGGGCAAAACAATGTTAAATACTTTTAAAATTTACTTATTTAATATCGTTGTGACCAGACGATGACCTTGAAATCGGTCGAAAGCTTGCCAGCAACAATTGAATATGTTTCTTCAATCAGACCATACCAATATCGACATTATTCGTTAGTTAAAAACGGTGTATCTAACATTTTCAATATAAATTTACTCATAAATGATCCATCATTAAGGATTAAACTTTAACTAAAAGATTTTGCCTTGTTTTTAGACGCAAGTGGCGACGTTTTGAAACGAGATGTAGGTAAGATTAAATCTTTAAAGCTGCTAAAAGTTTTTAAAATACTTATAATTAAACAAATCACTACTTAATTGTTTTAATTACAGAAAACATTGGGAGGCGATGCCAAATGGGTGAAACGTGGAGGGAAAGCTGCAATAAGTGTTACTGCGGAAACAAAGGAGTCCCGCTCTGCACACACTGGCTCTGCGTCGGACCTCCGGAAAACACTATCACCTCCTTCCGTAAATAAAATAATTCATAAAATGTGACAATGATTCGTGATATAACGGAAGAATAATTTATCTATTTTTTTTAACAGACGACGATTTCTGCACGCCTTTTTCGAGATGGAAAGACGAATGCAACGTATGCTTCTGCACGGCGGAAGGCATGCCGAAATGCACGGATTACAACTGCGGCCCGAGAAAAATCAATCGATTGAAAAGGGAATCACGCGCAAGTAATACATTTTTCACATGTTCTGACAAATAGTTCAAATACCTCCTTTTTGCTGGAAGTGTTGAGAAGAAAGAAGGATTCGGTCCATTTAGGTGTCAGACTTGTCCGTATGTTCAGTTGGTATTGTACATGTGTTCCATGTAGGTCTGATTTCCAAATAAAACGCAAGTGAATTCGTGTGGACTGAGCGATTACCTTACTGTATAACTCCTCTTATTAACCTTTTAACAACCTGGATTGAGAACTACTTCTCTGTTTATCCCGATAAGATCCTTGACGTATACTCCTCTGGAACGCTGGTTTAAACTCTAACCGAGACGAATTTGACGTACTATTACATTGTACTTTGCACTAATAACAGAAAGACACTTTACTACCTGATCACACTGTTACGTAACTATCTACAGATCCGACCAGCCCGACGATAATTTTCCTAAGCTATTTGTAGAATTCTTTCCTTAGAACAACATACTTGGCATCCCAATGGAAATTTGGCTTCATGAATGATTCCAAAGTCTAAAAAACCCAGATAAAATTTCAAGTCATCAGTGGCCACTCTCTACCACTCTAGTCGGGTATCGTACGAAGGCAGAGGTATCACAAGGAAATATCTATCTAAGGACCAGTTACTCTATACTGTATATACCGCAGACATTCCTACACTTCCAGAAACAACCCTTAATTCCTATGCGGATGATACGTCCTTTGCTCCCATAAAGGCTCTGTATTTTCAACCAGAAACCTACAAAACCATGTCATGTCTATTGAGCAGTGGTTCGAGCTCTGGAAGATGGCAATAAACATACAAAAATATGAACATATCACTTTCACCCTTCGGAGAGTAACAATTCCCCTTAACTACTACAATAGCAACTTTCTCCTATCATTTAATCTAGTCCGCTACCTTGGGCTATTCATTGTCAAACGACTTACATGGAAACCTCACAAACGACTCAAAATACAAGAGTTAAACAGACGATTTAAAAGATTTCTAGATAACGATCAAAACTGTTTTACAGAATAACTCATTTATATAACTATTTTTAGACCCAGTTGGACAAACGACTGCAAACTTTGAAGTTTCATCAAAACGTTCCAATCCCCAACCTTATGCACGTTGCAACGCACGACGTATGCAATCCCTACAATCAATCCTTCGAACCATCGTCAATGCTCCTTTCTATGTATCTAATCTTGTCATTCACAATGACTTTAATATCCAATATTTCCTTGAAGTAGTGAAAAACCGCTATAAGATGTTTCGCAAACAATATCCAGTACACCAACCCTCACGTCAGAAATGGTTTATCCCGCACCCTCCTAAAAATTCCTCCCCGAAGGCTGGTGTCACTAACCTCGCGACTTCCAAGTGACTGTGAAAGTGATTAATGCTAATATGTAGGACTGTCTAGTAGATCTTCTTTTTTCTCTTTTATGCATACCTTTGTGTTCATTTTGTTTTGTCTTACGCTGTAAAATACTATCAAACTTATTAAAATACAACATTGGCACAAATCGTCCTGTATATGTATTTATTTCAAATGAGAATATCATTTCGGTTCTTTTGTTCATTTAGTCTGATGCGCTAACTAGAGGTGCAAATGCACCAATAGGTAATGAGGTTTAGGCGATCTTGATTTTGCTGCAATGATTGGGTTAGAATGTGAAGAGAAGATTTCGCTGAACGTAAATAAAGTTAAGTTAATAAAGTTAAGCTGATTTCTGTCATACACGAGGCCGTAACGTCAAAACACCCTACAATATTTTCCATGTTATTCTCAATTATAATCCCAAGGGTTATGCCGGGGATTCGAACCCATAATCTTCACTATGGCAAAACGCCCGCGTGTTTCCTTCCACGACAGATTATTTTAGAGAAAACTGAAATTTTTTATAATATCGTAGTTTCATGTTTTGGTGTTTTTTTCAGAACGACGTTACAGATTCTCAGAAGGAACTTACTCCTGCCAGCCAGGCTTTTCCTGGCATGACGGTTGCAACTCACACGGCTGCACAGAAGCAGGAATACCGTACTCTACTTTGAAATATTGTCCGCCCGAAGAAATCAACAGAAATGGTTCATATAAAATTCATTTTGAATATAAAACCTTTAAATATAAACTGGGCGAAATTTTCAGTTAAAATGTGTCGAGAAGGAGCGAGTTGGAGATTACAGGGCAGGATGTGTCACTGTACCGAAAAAGGAGTGGGCGTTTGCGATCCATATAGAAAAAGAAGGGAGGTCTCTTCGTATAACAGACCTAAGACAGTTGGTAACCGACTATTTTATATATAAACTTTCTTAATCCTTACAATTAAACAAATTTAATTCGTTTATATGCTTGATCGTTATTTTAGAACGAAACATGTATGAAAAAGCTTGCCAGCCAGGTTATATTTGGGATGACGGCTGTAATTCTTTTGCATGTACCGATGATGGATACTTTGCTTCAAGCTTGAACGTTTGTCCTGAAGAAAAAATCGACCACGATGGTATAAATTAGACTATTCATTTTAAATCATTTTCGCCAATGAATTTTTTTTTCAGTCCGCATGTGTGCTAAGGGCTCGACTTGGAACTTCGGCAACTGGAAGTGTCGGTGTACTGACCAAGGTTTTGGAAAATGTATTCAGAGTGGCAATAAAAAGCGTACACGGCTGCGTAATCAAAAACAGGTATTCATTTATCATGATAAAATTTTAGAAAAAGTAAACAGAGGGAATTAATATGAAATATTATGTTGCAGGATATCCGATAACAACCTGTTTTAATTTCACGTACTATTTAGAATTAAGCTTTTTATTAATTTAAGCAATTAAAATGGTATATATCATTGTAATTTCTTCAATCTAAGAGGTTTACATAACGCAACAAGTTTATCATACTGTAGTATTTTATTGTTTTCCTTTTTAATACTCTTTTACTAATTAATTTTACAACTATTTTTATGATTACTACCAACGACTAAATTGTAAATGCAATAGAGAAAAAAAATAGAGGGCGTCGGTGACCGCAACGCTTTAGGCATTGACGGCGCTCATCACTATAAGGTAAAGGTCCCGAGTTCGAATCTAGCGGCCCTGCATTCGAACCCGAAATACTTATAAATGGATTTTTTTTTTCAAAAACACCGGCACCTCGAACACACCCTTTGCTGTTGAGAACCCTCGTTAAATATAAAAAAAAGATAATACATAATAATAAAATAATAAATAATTAAATAATAAAATAAATAAATTAAATAATATAAAAAATAAATAAAATATATAAAAAAATAGAAAAATAAATTTAAACAATTTTATTTCAGCATATACGATAGTATTGAAATTAAATTTACATATATTATTTAGAAAAGTGATTTTTCATTAATTAAAGTCAAATTACTGCACGTTTTTAATTTTTGTTAATTTTTTTTACCCTCATGTTTAAAATGACCTAACGAAAATTGCTGAGTATAATGCTATACAGGGTGAATTGCTACTCGTGCTACAAACTTCTCCAGTAGATTCTTCACCCTAAAATGAACAAAAAAGTTCATATTGTCCATGGTCCGATTCTCAA